TAAGGAAGGCGAGAGTTACACCTTCCAGCCACCCCCCACCCAGCCTGCAGCTGGGCCAAGCCCTAGCCCTGCTGACCCCTGCAAGCCCGTCTCCCCCCAGTGGATCTGGGCTGGAGAAGGCAGCCACACCCAGGGAGGGCCAGCTCACTTGAGAGCTGGAGCGGATGCAAACGCTGTTCACTTTTTTAAAGCTGTTTCTAAGTATTCAGGCTTGTCTGGGTGGTGCCGCCGTACTAGGAGCATCCAGAAATGGGTGCTTTGGAAGAGCATTACTGCCCCCACAGTGCCCAAGAGCTAGAAAAACATGCCCACAGAAAATATGATTCAACTTCTGGCTTGTATAGTTGAACTTGCAGGAAGAAGGCTGACAGACTTTAGGGCAGGGCAACCTGATACTGTTGTTTCTACAGTTATCTACAACTGCTGAAAGTGACGGCTTCCTGCGGTGGCCATGGGCCACACTTGGCTGGATACCACAAAAACAGAATCTTTAGGTATGAGCCTGCAAGCGCTCTTGTCCGTTCCCACTCCACCCATACCCTTTAAAAACAAGCATAACAACTAAAGTTACACAAGCCTGAAGTGTAAAACGTTTACAATAAAGATTTCAAAAAAGTATTTTATTACACTTGGTTCACCCATTTCTTGAAATTATACCACAAAACCAGCAAGCCATTAGAGGCAGAACACTGTCCCGTGCTGGTAACTTCCTTAAGGGGGTGGGTTGCCTCCTAGCTTAACATTTTAAAAAGCATATTTTCTATGGAAGATATTTGTATTTTAAAATTCATTTTTTTTAAACTGGCTTTTATGTGACCAGTATTCAGTGGTATGACATATTGGTTCACAGAGAGTGATTGCACAGCTAAAGGGTAAAGAATAGCCAATAATTAACTTTGAAAATAAAATGTTTACACCTCCCAAATAGAAATTTTTTTTGCTCTACAGAATATAGGTGCTGGGATTAGGGATGTGGGGGTGCCCCTACTTGAAGTGATTTCTATTATATACAGGGTTTCCAGTTTGGGTCAATGGCTCTCAGCATCCCCACTATACAAATTGTTCCAGCACTCCTTCTAAAGAAGTTAGATATGTAAAAATCCAAATCAGCATCAGCTTCATTTCCCACTTTGCATCCCAATTAATCTTATTTACTACATCAGGGGGGAAAAAATGGTTTTTAAACCTGGCTGGAGATGTGTGCACCGTAGCTAGGGACCCATAGCTTGAGCCTAAAAACCTTAAGCTTTATCTACACTGTCACTTTCAGTGCTAAAACTTTAGTCATTCAGGGGTGTGACAAAACACAGCCCAAGCAACAAAAGTTTTAATGCTGAAAAATGCCAGTATAAAACAGAACTTTATCGTTGGGAGCCCCACTCCTGGGCCCTGGCAATAAAACTACAGCCCTTGTTTGGGTTTTTTGACTACACTGCCCAAATCACAGCATTGCAGCAGCAGCAGCAGCACTGTAACCATAGGCAGTGTTACCAGCACTGTATGAGAACTGTAGAAAGTTAAGCTCAACTTTGCAAAGATTTACACATGCACTTAACTTTAAACATGGTACACACAGTTAATGTACACTGATCTTTGCAAGATCAGAGCCTTAAATTGCACATCAAATCCAATATCTTGTTGAATTAAAACATGACAAGTTCACCATTCTTTATCAAAGAAAGAAATTATTGCTAATCAGCATATGACAAGTTCACCATTCTTTATCAAAGAAATTATTGCTAATCAGCATATTAAGAAGAAAGATGCCTAAAAAATGCCTAAATCAAAATGAAAAATCCATACATTCCAAGACCAGAAAGGACCACTGAGATAACCTAATTTGATCACCTGTATAATATAAGCAATACAAATAAATCACAGGCAAGGAAGTGGAAATGGAAATATTTTGGGAAGAACTTTTCTACTGAGTTGTTGTTTCCTTCTCCATAATAGCAGCTTCAATTTCTTCAAAGATTGACACTGGCCCTGCATAGTTGTTAGTCTCTATAGCTTCTAATTTCTTCTGATAGGCAGCTGGCAAGCCATTCTGTTTTGCACCCATGCAGATGACCTACAATTAAAAAAAAACCAAAACTTTTAACATCACTTTGTAATGAAAGAGTTAAATCACACCTTTACTTGTGTAAAAATAGTGCCACTTAAGATAATGGAACTAAAACAAAATGCACACCTTACCTTACCAGAAAAGGGAAGGCAGTAAAAAACACCAACTATGAAGACTTCTGAATATCTCACAAGTGCCAATATAATGAATCTGAAGCAGTTCACATATTGCTGTGCTGGGTACTAGTACAAAACCCTAGGAGACTATTGTGTAAGTGCCTTAACATTATTTCAATTCATTTCTGCCTTCAAGATAGAGGATTTCAATCTTCAACCAGTCTCAGCATAAATCCTCCTTAGTGAGAAGTAACTAGAATGCTTTGGGCTATTAAAAAAATCCTGAGATGGTGCACCAACAGCTACCAAGTCTTTCTAATTTGATTGGACAGTAGTAAATATGACTCAGAACAACAGTAGCAAAGAAACTATTTAGATGTAGCATAAAGTAAGACGTTTCTCTGCTGATTCTTTTACTGATGCTTTCCTTCATCCACAATGAAATGAAAGTTTGTAATATATTTATGGGAAGCGAGAAAAAAAGATACAGGAAATTACTGGGGTAGAGTTTACAAAAATAAAAACTACTTATCCCGGGTATGGAGATACCACACACATATACATAGAGGCATTTAGTCACTGACACAGCCACATGACATGAACAGCCCCTACTTGTCTTCTTGAGAGCACTTTTACTTCTCTTACAGAATACAGTGTCTGAATTGATATGACTATAACGAAGAAAAATCAAAGTAGGAATGAGCCAGTGATGATGCAATTGTGAAGGAGGGGAGCCAGAGTGAAAAGAGAACTGATAAAATACACACAAACACACACACAAAGGCTGTGTCTACACTGGCAAGATTTCGCGCAAAAGCGGCTGCCACGAGTATTTGTGCAAGAACACTGACGTTTTAATGTACGAAATCAGTGCTTCTTGCGCAAATACTCTGACGTTCCCGCTCAGGGATAAGCCCTCTTGTGCAAGTATTCTTGCGCAAGAGGCCAGTGTAGACAGGCAACGTTAATTTCTTGCGCAAGAAAGCCCGATGGCTAAAATGGCAAATCTTTTGCGCAAAAGCACATGCCAGTATAGACGCTCTCTTACGTAAATACTTTTAATGGAAAAACTTTTTCGTTAGAAGTATTTGCGCAAAATCATGCCAGTGTAGATGCAGCCTAAGTCAGTAAGTTACAATGCCCATAACAGTTTCAGTTTTGACATAAAAATGTCTAACTGTACATATTAGATTACACCGCATTAGATTACAGTGTATACAGTAAGATGACTATCTTGCAAAAGTTTACTTGTATGGGGTAATTTTGTTTGACAAATAAAAGATCAGTTTTTCCATACATACAGTATGGCAAGGAGAGTCCCAGATATTTTATATATATACACATTACCAACCTTTATGTTCATATTAGCATAGTTGTATTTCTTCACACAGCCCCAAAGATATGTCTGGGAGAAACATAAGAGGGAATGATGGTTGGCCAGCACATGAAGGACTCCTGGGGTAGTGTTTGTTCTTTAAACAAAAAAAGAAAGTCTGATTCTGCAAGTGGATCCATAAGGATGGATCCCTGGTTCAACAGGAGTAACATATGCATAAGCGTTGTAGAATCACGTCCAGTTAGTTGTTTTCAGTAGAAAGTCACTCTGGCAACTTGTTGATTTTCATCTGTAATTCTGATTAGCTAAACATTTCTAGACATGTAGTCACACTGGCTCTGGCTAGGACCTCAGATCTCACCAGCTAAGCAAGTCAGGCCTGTTTGGAACGTAGGCACACCTCCCAAAAGAGTCAGTGTGCTGCAGGGGTGCTGGTGACTCATATGGAACTCTTTCTTTCAAACCAGTACCACAGCAGAGAACACAGATCCATGTTCGTGTTGCGCTTCCCATCAGTACCCGGCCCAAGCCAGGGAAACTAATGATCCAACTGATGATCGTTCAGTAATGAATCCTGGTCACATGCCACTTGAGGCACACTGCACATATACTAAGACATTCTAGCCAGTGTCTCAGAACAACATTACAAGGCCTGTGATGTTGGAGAGGTCAAACCAAAAAACTAATTACTTGTAGTCATTAAAGATCCTAGGTCACCTTTTACAAGAGTGGAGATATTAATACCTACATCCTTGCCAGATTTCAGGTCAGAAAGTTAAGTTCTGTTCACTAAAATTTCCCCCGAGACTTCAGTTGAGTAGTGATCTGTTCCAACTACAGTAAAACTCAGATGGTCCAGCAGCTGATGGTCCGGCACTCCTGATGGTCCAGCACCATCAGGAAACCGGAAGTGCTCCAGGCAGCCGGACCATTGGAGCTGCTCTGCCCCCAGCTTCAGCTAAAACTGATCAGCAGCTGAATCGGGGAAGCTGGGGGCAGAGCAGCTGGAGTGCTGCTGGGTAGGTCCCATAGCGCTGGCCCTCGGTGCTGCGGGACCAACCCGGCAGCACCCCAGCTGTCCCCGATTTAGCCGCTGCTGAAACTTACCAGCAGCTGACTACAGGAAGCCCGAGGGAGAGCTGCTCTGCCCCGGCTTCCTGAAGTCAGCCGCTGGTCAGTTTCAGCAGTGGCTGAATCTGGACGCCAGTTCCGACTTAAGTACAAATTCAACTTAAGTACAAAACTACAGTAC